ATACTCTTCTCTTCTTCTCTCTTCTCTCTCTCTCTCTCTCTCTCTCTCTCCGAGGATGATCAAAGAAAAGAAAGGAAGAATTTGTTGTTGTTATTGTTGTGGTTGTTATTACATGTGCAACGCAGGTATAAAGACTCGACTGTTGTTTGCTATAAAAAATCTTACGTTTGGATTATACATAATTTTTAATAAAAATAGAGCCCAGCTAGTGGCTTCTATTTTCACCCCGAGACAAATTTCGCGTGCGCTAAATCACAGCGTCGATACAAAATGGCGCTACACTCGCGAGCTATCGAGCTGTCAGAGCTGTTCTGTTTTCATCATCGGGCCCACACGACCTAGAACTCGAGTCTGCGGGTTTCCTAACGATCGATCGTCATGCCATCCTAATCGCTTAATAAATTAAATTCAGTACTTTACGTGATAAAATATTACGTACATATTACGTATCACACTCGATTTCACACATTCGTCGATACATCCTACAAGAGTGTGTAATAGAACGTATAATTTCCGGCGAAACATATAATAAAATGATACATTTATATATTTCTGTTTGCTCACGCCAAGGAATAAATAAACCAAAAGAATGAACTGAATTACAAGAAACGCAATACAGTGAATAACACGCTATTTATTGGCTCTGGAGACAATATCGCACAAGATATTCAGAAGATCTTTGTAATTGGAACTTAAATGTATCGGGATCTAAATGAAATCGCTCAAGTGAATATAATGCATAACGACTAATGAAACAATAATGGAATGATTCGGAATATATTCGAAACATTTTCTCTTACGTGTTTATTATTTTAATCGTCAATTATGCAGGATTTTTAAACAAATTGTCAACATTATTAAAAAAAAATAATTTAAGTCACAATCTACGAATTCAATCAGATCAATCTTACATATAATCTGACCTTCACGGCGCATTTCTCTTTAGAAAATTACACTTATTCGTTCTCTTGTCGAAAAATTAAGAGATCCTAAAAATTATCTTTTGAATATCTCAAAATTATTCGTACATCAAACTTATTAATCGTAAACTTTTGTCATATTCCTGTTAATGATCGTCCAAGCAGTTATTCCGCGGAAGAAGCGTTTGCGCGCGTCATCTTTACTATAAAAAATTACATTTCGCGTGCATATATTTTTTTCATTGTATTTCAATCTTGTCTTTATAAATCTGCAACTTTACTCTTACGTTATCACGAAGCAATTTTTTATGCTAATAGTTTTCATTTTAGAAATAGATTTATATATGTATATATTTTATATATATATATATATATGTGTGTGTGTGTGTGTGTGTGTGTGTGTATGTTTATATCGATTCATTTTTCATTCCTCGTTACGCTATTTTCATCATCTGTGTCGTGTATCATATTACTTTACTGAATTATTTATTTGCGATTTGCGTTACTTTCCGCATCAGTGTATCATACACATTTGGTGAAATTGACGCGTTTCATATCTCATACACCAATAGTTTTGTATATGATACATATTATGTTCGACAACTGTAGAATATAATGTTGCGATGCAATTAATTAGCGTATTACATATAAAATTTAAACAAGTTAAATGATTGAATGACTGCAGAAAACGCGCGTGTGAGTTTTCAAAACATGAATACTCTGCTTTATGATTTGGATATTTATCAAAGTTATACATTATGTTGGTGTACGTTATTCAGCAAATATTTTATTTATATAAACTCTGCAAGCCCAGCTTACCATCGTCAGAAATGCACTTTTAGGTTTATTTTATCCATGTACGAAATTGCTGCTTATATTTGTAGGAGTATAAGAGTGTCGATAAGTTATTAAGAAAGATTAGAAAATTTGTATTCCATATCTAGCGATTTCCACTTATCTCCCGATTGGGACATTTTTCTCATTAGAAAATGACAAATGATATTTTATTAGACATTGTTTTGCAAGTCGGCGCTACTTATTGCTTGATGTATTTACTGCAGCAACATTTGGTTTTTCCAGATATATACATAATGTAAGGAAAGAGATAGCAGCTTATTGGCGGATATACTTTCTATCACGTTGACTCGTATTGGCGACTGAGATAAAGAATCATTTTGTGAGAATAATAAAAATTAATTTGCGAGAAAAATAGACTAATCATAAAATAGGCCTACGCGCGCACACGCGTTTATCAAGTTTTAACAAGCTATTATATTGAATTGTAAATGGTAGATTAAATAATTTAGACAGGGGCCACTTTATCAAAAGTCTAACTCTTTCGTGATAATTGTTATTATTTCGATTCTACAAGCACGAAACTATTGATAGATCTTATCTACTTACTCTGAATTCTTACGTTGAGATCAGCAACGCTCGAATTATAAATTAGTAACTTGTAGAAAAAAAAATTTTTTTCGGTAATTATTTTTTTTCTCACTCATAATTCAAGCGCCGTATGACAATTACATTATTGCGTATAAAATTACATTATTACAATAATTATCATTTAATCTCATTGGCATGGATGACTTTTATTTTCTGCATTTTATTTTCTTTTTTCTTTCCTTCTTTTCACGTTAGTTAAAGATAACGGAAACAGTGAGAAAAACATGACATTTACATCACCTATTCGTATCAATTGTATATAAATCACAACGAGCGACTTGTAATCTGTATCCCTGCTGCTTTACTTACGCTGTCTCGCGCCTATTTCACCAATACGATAATACGATAATTAAACACCTTTGTAGTGAAGTCACATATAGACTACACTGTGCGATGGCACGATTTCT